GCTGGGCGGGCGCGCGGGCGCGCGGGCGCGGACGGCGGACATCGCGAACGCGAGCATCGGAGCGCGCGCGGGCATGGGGACGTGGAAACGTGGCGCGGTGATGCGTCGGAGGGCGATGTGAGCGCGGGCGATCCCTTGCTGGGGGGATACAGCAAGCAAGACGTCGCGGACGCGATCAAGCACGTCGTCATGGAGGAGACGAAGACGCGACGCAGGGCTGACGCCGTGGGATCGTTGGGCTTAGAAGAGGGATCACAGGAGTCTTGGAATACGCCGACGCTGTTGATGGCTCGACCTGGTTCGTCGAAGGAGCGCGATGCGCTCAAGGTGACACTGAGCAAACTGTTGACGACGTACGACGTCAACCTGGTGGCGAAAAACGTCAAGGTCACCGCGGCGGTCGATCCGAACACCTGGCCCGAAGGACTCGATCGCTCCGTGTACGCGCTGAAGACGGTGTTTGAGAAGCGAGGTGGCGATTACTTGCACCCCGATTTCTCTCTGTTGCACGGGTTGGATTGGATCGACGCGCCAATGTCCCGGGACTTGGATGGAAAGATTGCCGGCGCGTGGGCCGCTCTGTCTCACCACGTCGGTGAGCTTTTCGGTCACATGTATCAGTGGCAGCTCGCCAAGGATGCGTGTAACAACGCAACGCTCATCGTCGACAGTGATGGTCTTTCTCCGGCGAGACTGTCGGTTCCCGTGTCATCCTTTGGCGCCATCGTCGATCACGCGCCGAAGGATTTTGATGTCATCCTGCTCAACACCTACCCGAGCGCCGCCGCGAGCTCAAAGGTAGTGGCCGAGTTCCCCGATCATAGAGGGCACGATATGAAGATCACGACCTGGAATAAGCCGGGGATGACCGGTCTGTCCACCTACATAATCTCCAACAAGTTTCCGGACAAGGTGTTTGAGTACGCGGCGAGCAAGGGCGCGGGATACTTGGACTCTTGGATCGTCGACGATCTCTGCACTCATCCGGTGTGCGATGATGACGGAGAGATCGTGGGTAAGGGGTCGCTCACGGCGACGACACCGTTACTGAAATGCTATCACGCGCGCGGTGTCATCGAGACCTTTGATGGCGCCGCAAAGGAGAACCAAAACGAAGACAAAGAAGAAGTCGTCATCAGCTCGAAGGCAGAGCGCGATGAGTCGATCGTGAGAAACGAAACGAGCTCCAAGTCATCCAAAGAGAAAGTTTCGAAGGAAACGGAAAAACGAAGCCATGGAGTCGAAGCCGATGATGAGGGCTCTAAGGATTCGCACGAGCACAAGAAGACCTCAAAGCACAAGGATGACGCTCCAGAGGCCAAGTTAACGAGCGCCGCGCCTTGGGCGTCGCCAGTCTCTTCATCTTCGGTATCGGGTCTCGCATCAGCTGAAGCACCAACTAAGTTAGATGAAAACGCGCTGAAAGACGTTCAAGATTTTTTCCAAAAGGGTGGAAACGCCGAGGCGAGTCTTGGCGCCAAGCCGGGCGCTGAACGAGGTACGAGCGTTGCCCATGACTTAATCTCACATTCCATCGAGGAATTGAACGGAGCGCGTGCCTCGCTTGTCCAACGACGCCATGCCATCGCGCAAACGAACAAGCAGAACCGCGAGCACGTCGAGGCGATGTTGCGTCGATGGAACGAAATCAAAGCCAGCGGTAGAGAGGCGACGGCGAGAGATCTCCAGAGTGCGGTGACTTCAACGAAGATGGAACAAAGGTCGGCCACCGCCCCTCAGGGCGTGAGACGCTTAGCTCCCGCGGTCGAGGCGATTGTTCACGAGAAGCCAACGCGAGTCGGCGACGAAAAGTCAACGGCCGCATCTGGAGTAGTCTCTATGAGTGCCGACGCTGAGGTTGATTCGTTCCTCACAGACTTGTTGAAATAATTCACGAAGATGTATCTAGCGCTAATTCGACGAAAGACGAGCGACGCGAACGCGAACAAACTCTTTTTACTGAATCTCATGTCGCATGGTCATTACAATCACCTCGCGACGCGAAACGGAGACTATTTGGTCTACGTGATTTACTTGACGTGGAACCGAAAGCGCACCTCGCGATGCAGAAAACGACACCAGCGTCGTTTACGCCGCCGCACGAAGAGCTTCGAGCTTCGCCTTGAGGTTGGCCTTCTTCTCTTCGTACGTCATCTTCGGGAGCTTGAACTTACGGCCAGCGTCCGCCGGCTTCACGCGCTCCTTCTTCTCGTGAGTCGGGTCCTCACGAATGGCTTCGAAGACTTCCTCCATGGCGTCTTCGAGTTCCGTCGGATCGAAGTCTTCGGCCAAGTACTTGGCAAAGTGCTGCTCGAACTTTTCCGGTTCTTCCTCTTGCATCTCTTCGGCGTATTCTGCGACGACACCACCCTTGATGTATCGCTCAAGCGTGTCCGGATCGTGCGACTTGTCTTGAAGGTCGTAGCCGGCGAATCGCTTTTCGTTGTGCGGAATGTCCAAACCACCGTCAACTGCCCCCTTGAGCGCCGCGAAAACACGCGCACCGGTCGACGTGCGAACCAAGCCAGTGTCCAAGAAGCACTTGAACGGGCGCGCTTCCTCGTCGCCTTGCTCAACGTGGTAGTCCTCCCCGAGGTCCTCCGTCTTGCCCTCGTACGCGTCCGCCAACCCATACTTTGTCAACAGGCGTCGGGCGCACAACAAGCCAGTGGCGTACGTCGCGGCGTAGTTCGTCAAACCAGCCTTCATGCCGTACTTCGGGAGCTCGTGGGAGTACGCGGCGCAGATCGTGACGTCGCCACTCAGCGTGGCGTACACGACTTGACACACGACATCGCGGTTCGTGAATCGAACGACAAAGCGGTACTTGGGCGAGTTGTACTTGTTCTTGTCCTGGGTGATCAAGCGCTGACGGGCCTGGTAATCCGTCTTACCTGTGAGTAGAAGGAAAGCAAAGGAATGTTTCCATCGTCAGTCTGGTGTTCTCATCGTTACCAACGAGCAGTCGCGCGTGAAACGGCGACCGATGCGCGATGCGGTCCCACGGACGCGAGAACCCTAAACATCGCACATCGTTCGCGTCTCTCGTCGCGCGCGACGCGCTGAACGACGCGTTCATGCGCTCGATGAACGCATGACGATCACGTCTCATCATCGAGCGATCCGTATGGCGTCGCATCGCCGTCGCGTCGCGCGTGACGCGTCCGAAGACGCAGCTCGCGATCGTCGCTCTAGGGCTTCATCTCGCGCGCGGGAGAGAACAAACACGCACCTAAACGACGCCTGGCGAACTTCACTTGGTACCGAGATTGGTACGCCGTGGTCTTGGCGACGGATTGCGACTTGCGCTTTTGACGACGCTTCCCCATGTTGAGTAGCGCGACGCGAAGAGACGGACGGGATCGTGGGCAGCGCGCGGTCGAGCGATTTTCACGTCGAGGTCGGCATTTGGAAAATTTCAATTTGATTGTCTTTCCTAGAATTAAATGCGTACATGGTGCTATTGGCGCTTGCGAACGATGACGTTGAGGACGTGGGAGCCCCGGGCGTGGCCGCGAATCCACAGCGGGATATCGTACTGGCCGAATTGATCGATTGGACGCTCCAGGACGAGCGAGGCTGGCGCTATTTGGAGTTGTTTCTGTCGACGAATCTGGAAGAGGAGACGTGCAGTCGGTCAGTCGTTCGATTGAGGCGATCGTTTGTGCGGTTCCGGTTCGTTCACTCCGCCGTTGATGCGTCAGAAATAAGTCTCCTCACGGTTTTTAGGCATGAATCCGTCCATTCAGACGGAGGCGCGATGCTATCAGGTGACAATTTCTCATCACTCGCGACGACGGCTGGAGTTGTGCGTTTCAAGCGAGCGCGAGACGAAGCGTACCTCATCGACTATGTTCTCCCTAGTCACTGGTCTGAGCGGTTTACCCGTCTTCTTATCTAAGATTCGCTTCACCGCGATCGCGGGCTCGGCGGTGAGCATCCGCATCACCGTCTCATTTTCCTATGAGAGCGTGAAAGACAAACGCGTTCAGGTTAATCGTCAAAGCCTTCTATTGATCGCACTCAAATCGCCGATACAGCGCGCGAGTGAGCGCTATGGACTCCCTCGAACGCTTTCCATTCGATTGATTTGCAAAACGCGTCGCGAGCGATCCACGACACGACGCGAGCGATGCTCCGCTCAGACAGCCAAGGGAAACGTTGTGTAAACACCGGAGCCGAGACTCGAATCTTCAGAAACTCTAGTCCGTAGAAAGTTCCAGTCATCACCGCGATTGAGCATCGTCGCGTCATCCATGAATCCCCACGAATCTTTCCCATCCTTCGCGTCTCTTCGTCACGTTTCACGCACCTTCTCCCTCGCCGCCTCCTCTCTCGCGCTCTGCGCCTCCGCCTCGCCTTCGCCCTCCGTCGCCTCTCTCGCCGCCGCCTTCGCCAGCAACCGCTCCCTCGCCCTCGCCACCTTCTCTTCACTCACGTACGTCGCCAAACGTTCGGGAACGAGGTGATTCCGCGCCCGTCCCGGTCGCACGCGCGCGATCTCGTCGCGCTCGCCCAGTCCCGGGACGTCCGCGGTGAGGATCACGTCGACCCGTCTGTTCGCCTTCTTCCACCCGCGTCGCGCGACGCGTTGCGCCGCCAACGACGGGAGATCATCGATCAACGATCTCGCGCATCGTCTGAGGAGCATGCGCGCGGCGTCGCGAGGTGCGGTCGGCGGCGCGCGCGCGCGCGATGGGTGTGCGACGATACGTCTTTATACAGAGATGTATCGCGTACAGTATGAACACGTCGTATTGTGTGCCTACAATGCGTATGTGATCGCGCTATGCACGCCACGCCTGACCACCGCGCGCGCGCGCGCGTCGACCGCCTCTTCTCGACGCACGTCGACATGCCGACGAGGGTGCGTGCGCGGACGCGACGCGATGCGATGCGAGACGCCGCGATGGGCGCGCGCGTGACGTCGCGCGCGCGGGAGAGGAAGGACGCGGCGAGGGACGACGGGCGACGGGCGTCGCGGGCGATCGCGCGCGAGAAACCCCAGGGAACGATCGTTCGTGGAGGTCACGCCGCGCTCGATCGTTCCCTGGGTGTGGAACGCGGTAGAAATCCCTAAAGGGGTATTCGTGCGTTCGTGCGCGGGGGGGACGTTCGTGGAGAGGGGTCGTGCGTGGGGAGACGGACGAGAGTTGGATGTCGGGCGGCGAGGCTTTAGGGTTTTCTACAGCTGCGCGCGCGTCGGAATCGAGAGAGGATTGGAGGACGAGTGACTGACCGAGAGACGCGAATCTTTCACGAACGCAGTTGCACAAGAACCGCAAGAAGCGCGGCCACGTGTCCGCGGGTCACGGCCGCATCGGTAAGCACCGCAAGCACCCGGCGGGTCGCGGTATGGCTGGTGGTCAGCACCATCATAGAATCATGATGGACAAGTATCACCCGGGTTACTTCGGTAAGGTTGGTATGCGTCACTTCCACAAGCTTAAGAACCAAACCGTCTGCCCGACGATCAACATCGACAAGCTGTGGACGCTCGTCGGTACGGAGAAGCGTGAGGAATGCGCGAAGAACACGTCCCAGGCGCCGGTGATCGACCTCACGGACCACGGCATCTTCAAGCTCCTCGGTAAGGGCCAGCTCCCGAACCAACCGGTTGTTGTGAAGTGCCGATACATTAGCAAACTCGCCGAGAAGAAGATCAAGGAGGTTGGCGGTGCGTGCATCCTCACCGCGTAAACTCGATGCACTTGAGATTTTGCGGGTGCTGTGCCGAACTGAGTAGTCTGGGAGTAGAAGCGTTGTGAATGATTAACATTCGACACCGTTCGTTAAAATCACCTTCAATGTCATCGTCTCGTGCGTTCCTCGCCAATCTCGCCAACGTCACCAGTTTTCGGCGTCTCTCGCGATGGATCGAAGTGCGTCACTTCCCGACGCGCGTCGAGGTTCAACATGCTCGTCGTCTTCGTCTCATCCTTCGTCCTCTGCGTCGCCTTCGAGCTCGCGGAGGGTCGAAAGATTTGGCTCACTGAGGACTACGCATCCGCCTGTCGCAGGCTCGACGACGCCCGTCGCAGGCTCGTCGACGCCGAGGAGAAGGCGAGCGAGAAGGGCGATACAAAGAAGAACGCTCGAGCGGTCTCGCACGCTCGCGTCGCCGTCGCCGACGCCGAGCGGCGACGGCGCGAGATGGCGATCATCGCTCGGAAGTGGTTCACGGGCGCCACCTATTCGGGGGCGCTCGTCGTGCGGGCGGTGTACGGCGACGCAGCTGGCTGGAGATTGCCGTTCGCGGTGCCAGACTTTGCGCGAGGTTTGCTAGGCGCGGGGGAAGATCCGCGGGATATAAATGCGGCGACAGCGTTTCTATTGACAACGTTCGTGATTAGGAGCGTCATAGGGGACTTCTTGGATCGTCGAGTGAGGGTGGCTGACGCGTATACGTCCGCTTCGCGAAGGACGAAAGAATTGATGAACAAGACGCAATAGGGAGAATCCGCGACGGGAAGCGATCCTTTGGCGACGAAGCTTGGCATTTTATTAACAATCAGCATAAGATACACGTGAATGAGTCGCACGTCGTCCGTCGCGTGTGATTGCGACGGTGCGTCTCCGCGTTACTGCTACACCTGGTCAAAATCAAAGCTCGAGGCGATGCGCGAATCGTACTGGTCCAAGTCATCGCTGGGATCCGACTGAAGGAGACCCGCGAACTCTTCGAGATCGATCTGGCCGTTTCCATCCTTGTCGGCCTCCCTGATGCACGCCCTGATGATGGACGTGCGGACGGAGTCGTTGTCCTCTTCCCAGTCTTCAAAAATTAACTCAGCCACCTCGTCCGCGTCTATCTCCCCGCTACCATCCTTATCCAACACCTTAAACGCGCGCTCAACCCACTTGGGGTAATCACTCGTCTTCTCAATCTTTTCCCAATCCAAAAGCGCCGCAGTGAATTCATTGACGTCGATCAAGCCGTCACCAGACGTGTCCAAAGAACCGAGTAACTGTTTGCTTTCCTTGCCCGTGACGTCGTAACCTATCTCCCTGAGTCCAACCTCGAGCTCCACGAGCTCCACCATGTTATCTCCCGAAGTATCCAACTTTTCGAAAAGTTTTTTTAACGTCGCAAGATCCGCGTTCTTCAAGCTCACGGCGTCTTCCATGTCCTCACTGAGCATCTCACTGGTGATGAGACGCAGGACGGAACGCTTGAGCAAGCCCTGCGTCGCGAACCGTTGCAATCGAGCGACGACCTGTCCGTTTAACGCCGTATCCTTTCCCTTAAGTGCCTCGGCCTTCCACAAAGCCTCGCTCTTCGTGAGCCACGGGTGAAGAAGCGCCGCGCGCGCCGTCGGCCGAGCGTCTGGATCCTTGTTGAGGAGCTTCTTCACAAAATCCTTTGCATCTTCACTCACTTCCGGCCACGGATCGGTTTCGAAATCGATGGGGTCTTCCAAGATTGCTCGGAACACTTCTTTCGCGTTCGGTCGCGGGTTGATCTTGTCGGTGAAGGGGAGGCGCCCGCTCAGCAGCTGGTACGTGACGACGCCTGCGGACCACACGTCCGCCGGGCTGTTGTAATTGCGTTCGATCACTTCCGGCGCCATGTAGCTCGGCGTCCCACACCGACGCGCCAGATTCTCGCCGTTCGGAGGAAGCTTACCCGCCAAACCGAAGTCCGTCGCCTTTAGCGGCGAGTCCTGGTCCTCCGTCTGGAACAAAAAGTTATCCGGCTTGATGTCGCGATAGATGATTCCGCGTCGGTGGCACTGCACTGTCGTTCGCAACACGCTTTTCACCAAATTCGCCACCTTGGCCTCACGATATTCCTCCGAGGAACCGATCACGACGCGATCGAGGAGCTCACCTCCCGAGCACAGCTCCATGAGCAGGTGACAGTTTTCGTCATCCTCGAACGCCTCGTACAGATAACATACGCTCAGCGACCCTCCGATTGTCCGCATCACCTCCACCTCGTTCCTAATCTTCCCGTGATAATAATTCACCGCCTGCATCGACGCCGGAGCCTTGATCCACGGCGCCTTCTTCAGCGTCTTCAGCGCGAACACCTCCCCCGTCTTCTTACTCACCGCCGCCCTGACGACTCCGTACGACCCCGCCCCCAAGGGCTCGTCGTTCACCGGCACGTCGTACAGCTCGTACAGATCCCGACGAAATCCAAAATCCGGCCGCAATTCCTCGTTCGTGAACCCATCGAACGTCACGTCATCCTTCTCGCTCCTCCCGCTCGTCGTCTCGCTCGTCTGCGGGCGTCTTCGCCCGCGCGCGTCCCGCGTCGGCTTCTTCCCATCCCTCTTCTTCTCTTTCCCATCATTCTTCGCGAGCCAATCGCTGAGAAACCCTCTGACGACGATCGCGCGTCCTCGCGCGCCACCGCGCGCGCCGCGGCGTCCGCGCTCCCGCGTCGGCGCCGCCGTTCCTCCGATCGCGCGCTGACGCACGCATTCATCCCCCGCGCGTCCACGCGCGCGCGTCGCGTCGTGTCGCACCGCACCGCGCGCGAGCGCCATGTGGTCCGGCGTCGACCGCGCCCGGCGACCGCGTCGCGCGCTCGCGCTTTGGACGTCCACGGGCGCGGTCGTCGCGCGGATGGGATCGGTCGCGGTCGGGATGGGGTATGTGACGAGTCGTGACTCGCGAATGGGGACCGACGGGGACGTGGGCGTGCGCGCACACGCGGGTGTTCTACACCCCGACGGCCCCGTGCTCGAGTCATCACTCGTCAACGTGATCCACGACCCCTCCCGTCGACGACGTCCACGGGCGCGGTCGCCACGACCGCGCGCGCGAACGCCCGCGCGATCGACCGCGCGCGACATGGGCGCCGCGTCGTCCACGGCGACCGTGATCGATGGCAAGGCGATCGCGGGGACGATCCGAGCGGAGATCAAATCAAAAGTTGATGATTTAAAGCGACGCACCGGTCGCGTCCCGGGCCTCGCGGTCGTCATCGTGGGCGAGCGTAAGGACTCGCAGACGTACGTTCGGATGAAGCGTAAGGCGTGTGAAGAGGTGGGGATCGCGTCGTTTCACTGCGAGCTTCCGGGAACGGCGACGGAGGAAGAGATTTTGAAGACGGTGCGACGATTCAACGCCGACGCGAACGTGCACGGCATTCTCGTGCAGTTGCCGCTTCCGAAGGGGGTGAACGAGGAGCGGGTGTTGGCGGAGATCTCGATCGAGAAGGATGTCGATGGATTCCACCCGGAGAACATCGGGAAGTTGGCGATGAAGGGACACGAACCTTTATTCGTCCCGTGCACGCCGAAGGGGTGCATCGAGCTCTTGAAGCGCTCGGGCGTGGAGCTGAGCGGGAAGAACGCCGTCGTGGTCGGTCGATCGAACATCGTCGGCATGCCGGCGGCGATGTTATTGATGAAGGAAAACTGCACCGTCACCGTGGTGCACTCGAAGACGAAGGATCCCAAACGGGTGTGTCGAGAGGCGGACGTCATCGTCGCCGCGTGCGGGAGCGCGGAGATGGTGAAGAAGGATTGGGTGAAAAAAGGCGCCGTCATCATCGACGTCGGCACCAACGGCGTGGACGATAAGACCAAGAAAGCGGGATACCGCCTCGTCGGCGACGTCGATTACGCCGAGGTGCGCAAGGTGGCGAGCGCCATCACGCCCGTGCCCGGCGGCGTCGGTCCGATGACCATCTGCATGCTCCTCAGCAACACCCTCGACTCCGGCGCGCGTGCGCTCGAGAAGTGACCGTCCTCGATTTATTTATAATATTCATCGACGCCAGACGTCGTTCACGCCCATCGGAGCGTTCGCGCTCGCGTCGAGACGTCGTCCCGTTCGCGCGTTTCCGACGCGTTTCAATTTTAACCACTCATTCAACCGTCTCGTGCATCGTGCCCCAGACGCGCGCGCCGCGCGTGGCCCCGCATGCGCACCCCCCCCCCGTACCCGTGGCAGCTCGAGTGTCTCTCCCGCGTCGCTCGCACCTCGCGCTCGCTCGTGTACACCGCACCGACGGGCGCCGGGAAGTCTCGCGTCGCCGATGCGTTGCTCGAGGAAACGCTCGCGAGCGACGGCGGTGGACGCGCGCTCGTGGTCCTGCCCTACGTCGCGCTGGTCCGGGAGCGCGCGATGGCGCTGGCGAAGACGCTGCGCGCGCGAGGCATCGGCGTGCGGGCGTACGCGGGGGGAGAGAGCGAGGGATGGGCGCTGGGAGGAGACGCGCGGTGCGCGGTGACGACGATTGAAAAGGCGGCGAACGCGGTGTCGAGAGCGCTGGAACGAGGGAGTTTCGATGAACTCCGGATCGTGGTCGTGGATGAGTTGCACATGGTGAGTGAAGACGAGAGAGGTGGGGTGTTGGAGGGGATGCTGGCGCGGATTCGGCACGCGACGCGGTCGGGACGCGCGCGGAGAGGCGGACCGCGAATAGTGTGCATGAGCGCCACGGTGAACGCGCGGTCGCTCGAGCGCTTGGCCAAGTGGTTGGACGCAGAGACGTACGTCGGGACGTATAGACCGGTTGAGCTCAGGGAACACGTCGTTCGCGAGGATGGGGTGTTCGTGAAGACGGGGGAGGGGTTGACTCGGGTGCGCGACGCGCCGCGAGCGGGCGGGAGCGAGCGCGAGCGCGAGCTCGGCGTCGTCGCCGAGCTCGTCGGAGAGGTTTTCGTGCACGGACACTCGACACTCGTGTTTTGCGCGAGCAAGGCGCAGTGTTCGAACGTTGCGAAGAGACTGGCGGGGATTTTTCATCGACATCCCGCCGCGATGTCTCTGCGAGAGCGTTTCGTTGAGCGCCTGTTTGACGCGTGCGAGGGCGCGCCCGATGTCGACTTAGTCCAAGCCATTTTATCGGGCATCGCCTGGCACCACGCGGGATTGACGACGGCTGAGAAGAATGTCATCGAAGAGGGATTTAGAGACGGAGCGATTCTGGCGCTGACGTGCACGACGACCCTCGCCGCCGGAGTGAACTTACCCACGAGACGGACGATTATCATACCGGGCTACATCGCGGGGACGAGGACGCCATCCATGGCGCAATACAAACAAATGGCTGGTCGAGCGGGAAGGAAAGGGCAAAGCGACGTCGGCGAATCATTTTTAATCGTCATGAAGAAAGACGCAGTCGCCTGGGCTCAAAATCTAGTATGCGGTGATTTGCCACCTCTGGAGTCGCGGCTGTTTCCTCCATCCAGAGGCCGAGACGCGCCACCGACGGCGGAACAGAAGAAATTCTACCTTGAATCCATCGCGTGCGGTATTCTCAAGACGAAGGAAGATGCTGGCGAGCTCGCGTGTCGCACGTTTGCGTGGACATCGGAGGACGATTACTCTTCGATTCTATTGCGACAAGAGGTCTCACTGAAGCAAATTCATGACGAGGGCGTCGTGATGGTGCGCCGAACTGGTGAAAATTCTACAGAGTGGTGCTCGACTCCGGAAGGTTTCGCGTTTTACCGATGCTCTCTGCCGATAGCGCACGCAAAAAAGCTGCGAAGTGAGCTCGACGATGCGCTACGAAACGGTCTCAATCTCACCTCTCGGACGCATTTGCTCTTCTTTTGCATCTCAAACGAATCAAACTTCCTCGCGAACAACTTAAACTGGCACGTGTGGAGCGACTGGTTAGAGCACGATAGCGTGCTTCATCAACTCGGTGAAAAGCACTTGGGAGTCACTCGAGAGTACGCGGAGCACGCGCAGTATCGCCTTGGCGTCTCCGCAGAATCGAGAGCTGTTCGTTCTCGACACGAGCGTCTTGCCGCCGCGCATCTCTTGAGTGAGTTGTTGGCAAACGACGACACCATCTTCGACATAGAGCAGAAGTGGTCGCTAATGTCTAACGGTGCGATAGATCGCGGTAAAATTCAGTCTCTTCAGAACATGGCGGCGACGACAGCGGGCATGGCGAGCGTGTTAGCGAATGAGTGTGGCTGGAGCGCGCTCGCGGGATTGATGCTAAATGTGAGTGAAGAGTTGCAAGCGGGGGCGCGGCGAGAGCTGCTGCCTCTCATGCGGCTCGATGGAATGACTGGAGCGCGAGCGCGGTCGTTGTACAACGCTGGCTTCAAGACGCCAACGATAATCGCTTCGCTGGCCACTGAAAAGTTGGATAAACTTGTCGAAGCGTGCCTGAAATCGTTGTCGCGCTCTTCGAGAGCTGGCTTAGATCAGGCGATGCGCACGACGGCGTGGCGCGTAGCCACGTCCTTAGCTAAGAACGCGCGCGAAGTGAGCGTGATGGAGGCGCGAGCGGCGCTGGCGAACCTAGAAGAATAGAATCTAGAAGAGATTGTGTATAATTGCTTGCACTAAATTAGAAGGGCAAGGAGACCAGCGGCTCGTTGCCCGGCTGCTTGTACTTCTTCTTGTTCGGCGTCGTCAGCCTGAAGCTCTTGATGGACTCGTCGAATCCTCGACTGAGCTCGTCCCAGTAAATTTCCGGGGCGCTCGTGCTGAGCGTGTACAAGTATCCGTCGCGCTCAACGGTGACGCCAAAGCTGTGACGGAACGTCGTCGCCTCCGGTTCGCGCAAGTTCGGCGACCCTTGGGAGATGTACTCGTAGTAGTAGTACTTGTTGCCATCAATCGTCTCGGTTACCGCGTTGTCCACCTCAGCCAAGCTCACGCGCTGCCCGCTTGCCACGCGGCCAGTGGCTTTATCGGCCAAAACTGCGTTCGCCACCTGCTTTGCAGTCCAATCCTTCGTCGGTCTCGACTCCAGAGCCGGCGGCGTCGGGCTCAACGATACCACCGTCGTCAACGGCCCCTTGAAACTCAGCAACTCGTACACGATTCTCTGCCTCGCGTTTGGCGACATCGGCTCGGCGCTCGAGTACGTGTCCCGCTCCCGGCTCGTCGCCCACCCGATCGGCTTCCCGCTTTCCGCCTCCGTCGCGTACTCGAACTCGTACGCCAAGCTCTCGCTCTTCACCGCCTTCTTCGCCAGCTTCCGCTTCTCCTCGACCGGTCGCTCGCTCGCCACCTCTGGGCTCGCCGACGCCGGCTCGATCTTTTCCTCAGCCGCCTCGATCAGCAATTCATCCGCGTCCGCTTTTCCGCTCACACCGATCGACGCGCTCGCGATCGCCGCTACGAACGTAGATGTCATGAAGCGTCGACTCGCTCGCGGTTCCCGAGCGTCGATCGAGTCGTACCGCGCGTGAACGGCGTCCGAAGAGGATGACTCCAAACTTTTCGTCGTCACTTTGGATAAAATCGCATCGCGACGCCGCGACGCGCTCTGAAGTGCGCTTCGGCGATCCACTGCGCGGGTTTTGTGTACTGGATGCGCGTGTGGTGCTTTCGCGAGCATCGTTAACGGTGGTGCGGCGGTGCGGCGCGCGGTGCGAAGTGAAGGATGCGAGTAGTGGTTTAGCTCTGACCTTTTGAGCGCGTGTGTTGGCGGGTTGAAGTTTTTACGATGGATTAATTAGTGCTAGATGAGGTCGACGTCGACGACCACGGGGATGTGATCGCTCGGAAAAACGGCGTTGGGTAAGGCGGTGGATTGTAAGACGGCGGACATTGGTGGGAGGGGCGCGAAGTTGCGCGGGCGGAACGCCTCAGAGGAGCACCATACATAATCAAGCGCGCCGACGAAACCGCCAACGTAGTTGGTCCACTCGGGGAATCCACCGGCGGAGAAGAGCGGGCGGGGGATCGATAATGTCGCGCCGCACCCCACAGGGAGTACGGTGGAGCCGTCGATCGGGGCGGCCGATTCAAGGGCTTGGATTTGGAGCGACGATACCACTCGGAATCCCTCGTCTTGCGCGTTCTTCATCATCGTGGACGTGCGTTTGGCCATCGCGAGCTCGTCTTCGCTCATTTCGAGCCCTGGATCGAGACCAATTTCTCGACGAAGCGTGAAGGCAGCGACGGCATGACAGTTCTTGAACGTGCATCCAGATTTGACGTGCTTCTTCACGGCAACGATTGGGCCGTCACCGTCGTCGCACGAGCCGCACTTACACTTGGCGCCCCAGTTCTCGTCGAGCGTCCGAGCCGAGAGACTCATGCAAATCCCGCGCTCTACGAGTGCGCGCAACTCCAAGGAGTTCTCTACCTTATAATTGCGATCCGTTTCGTATCCGTGTCCATCATCCAGGATATAGTAGAGGCTTCTCGCGGCTTCTCGAGAGCTTGTACCTCCCCAGCGGAAGAGTGAACCTCGAATCCAATCCGAGTCGGCAGCGGAGATCTTACCTTTGGATATGTATCGAATCACACCATCCTCGGGCTCGCCGTTGAAGTCACCGCATAACATGAGCGGACCACCGTCTGCGAAGGCTGTCGCTTGAGTCAGAAGCTCGTGAGCTTGAATAATTCTTATGTGCATCGCTCCTGGATGGAAAAAAAGATGGCAGTTTCCAACACACATCTCACGCTGTGTCGATTTATCTTTCACCTTTACTAACTGCGCGACGGTCGTGATCTTTGCAAGTGCGTTGGCTAGTTCATAGTTTTCGTCATCCAAGATGAAGCGCTTCATTTGCGTGTCGCTCGTTTCGTTGAGCTTGATGACTTGCTCTTCAAGAATCGTGAATTTCGAAGATCGAAAGAAGATGGCGCTCCCCTCCATCGTTTGTCCCGACTTACCACACCAATCCGTGGAGACGTACCCACGCGATGCGAGCACGGGCTCGAACAAGAGCTCGTGCCACTTCTTGTCAACCTCTTGCAAAGCAACGACGTCCGCCTCGGCTTCCAAAATGTCTTGCAAAACAAGCTGCAACCGACGTTCAGCCTTCGCTAAGTCATCTGCAAAGTATGGAAACATCGTTTGCCACGTATGACTGTACGCGTCGGCTAAAATGTTATAAGTCATCACGCGCAAATCACCTCTCTTGGACGTCTCGCCCGGACGCAAACGCTCGAGCGCGTCTGTACGATCGAGGTCCAACCGGCGAACCGCATTAGCGAATTCGTAATCTACCTCTCGTCCGCACATCTCTCCCGTCGTTCTATCTCGTGCCCCGAGCGCGCGTACCATCAAGCGTTTCCCCACATCTTCCTCCGTCGGCGCGTACACGCGTCCTTGGCCAACCTCTCGCCCATCGACGCTCCAGGCAAACGCAACGTCTTCCTGCTCGCAAAAATCCAACCCGACCGCCGTCGCCGCGCAAGGGAATCCAACCATTGGGAAATCTACCGCAACGATCCCACCGATGTCTGGTGCGTTCAATCGAACGCGAAACCGCTCGTCGCCCACCGTGAGTTCGCCGCCGCTTTGCCACGCGTCGTCGTGCGATGCGTCCTCCGCGCAGTCCTTGAGTGTGATCGTCTCCACGTCTGCGCGCCCGTCCTTCTTCAGCGACGCACGGAGTCTTGCAAATGCTTTACTCACGCTCTCGGACGCGACGCGCTCGAGGCGCTTCGTCGAGCCGTCAAGGAAGGTGAGTTGTATCGCAACCTTGTCGGAGTTCTTCGCTCTTCGTACGTCCACGACGGCGTCTCTCGAGGGATTCATGGCGCCAGGGCGTTCGAAGACGGAATGAAGAGGTTTTGTACGCGCGCTGGCGTGCGTGTGGTGGGTTTGGAGGCGTGACGTCGCTCGGCGCATGCGGCGCGCCGGCGAGTGCAGGTAGAGACTACCTGTAATCGAATGAATACTACATTGAGAGACTAGAGCGAGTACACGGCGGGTTCGTTCGGGTCCGGGAGGAGTTCATCATTGGTCCAGGCCGCGTCCTCGGGGTCCTCAGAGGCGGAGGACGGGCGCTTCATGCGCGGTGCGATCCTAGCGGTTAAGTTTTGATGCACTGGTCGCATGGCGAGCCACACGAGTGAGACGACGTACAGACCGAGCAGAGCGGTGATGATCATGCCGAGGAAGACACCGGCGAGCGAGGCGTGTACCAATCCAGACTCAGCGACGGTTAAGATGACCAGGATCACGTTGGCTGAGATGATGGTTCCCGTGAGCGCGATGGTGTACCGTAACGCCTTTGGCTTCACCGCCATGGGTCCCACAATATTCGAGCTCGCGGTGAACTTGATGAGCGGAATGAGCGCAAACGGAAGCTGTATCGCCAAAATCGTCGATGATATCACGATCAGAGACTCTGAGTACTGATCACCCGCGATCAAGACGACCGCCAGGGACGGGACGATTGCGCACATGCGCGTGACAAAGGCTCGCAAAACCGGATTCACTCGAAGCTCTAGAAACCCATCCATGACGAACTGTCCGGCGTACGTACCGGTGATGGTGGAACTTTGCCCTGATGCGAGGAGAGCCGCAGCGAAAAATCCCTTCGCCGCAGGACCGAGCACTTCCTTTAACATTTGCGGCGCATACTGAAGCGGCCTATCGCGCACGTTGTTCTTCTCCTGCGGATCTGTGAGATGGGCGAAATTCGCTGCGGCGACGACGACGACGGCAATGTTGATGAATAACGATACAGATAACGCCAACCCCGACTCGACGACGTTATACTTGTACGCCATCTTCAAACTCTTCTCTCCCAAGACGAAACCTCGACTCAAAACGAGCGCGCTGTGCAAGAATAAGTTGTGCGGCATCACCACGGCTCCGACGAGCGATATCGCGATGTACAGCGCCGTGCTCCCGGGCAAGCGCGGTATAATGATCCCCGCCGTCACGCTCGACACCGCCGCGTCGACGTACGTGCACTCGGCCAAGAAGCACAGCGACATCACGCCGACCAGAGACGCCATAAATGCCTCTAGCTTCCGGACTCCGAAAGATTGCAACCCTAAGAAAACCATTGTTGACATCGACGTCAGCACCACGCCTACCCACGTGGGAATGCTAAATATCAGTTTCAACGCCAGCGCGGTGCCGATGACCTCCGGAACATCGCTCGCGATGATCCCGAGTTCGGATATCACCCACAGCGCGTACCGCACCGGGTCCGGATATTCCTCCCGCAAACACCTCGCCAAATCCCACCCCGTCGCCAGCGCCAGACGAATCGTGAGCCCTTGAATGTACCACCCCCCCGCGGTGGCCCACAACAGCACCCACAACAACTTATACCCGAACAACACGCCCGCCTGCAGGTCGCTCTCAAAGTTCCCCGGGTCCACGTACGCGATGCACATCAAGAATCCGGGTCCCATGAACCGCCACAGCGTCCGGAGATTAAACCTATGATCGTCATCGTCCAATCCCGTGATCTCCACCGTGTCCTTCGCCGCGCGCTCGTCCTCCGCGGTCGCTTTCCCGTCGCCGTCCCGCGCGCGCCGCGCATCCGTCGTCCACGCGCGCGTCTCCCCGCCCATCGCGCCCGCGTCCGAGCGCTCGACCGCGCGATCGAGCATCTCTCTCGGCGCGTCGCGATCCATCGCGCGCGCGCGCGGACGCGTCGTCGTCCGCGGCGTCGTCGCGCGGCGTCGTCGCGCGGTGATGCGCGCCGCGCGCATACTACTTGAAAAACACCCATCAAAACACAACGTGTATTGTGAAGCACATGTACCCATATACACCTAAACCCAAAGAAACCTCGAGCTGTCGCGACGCGGTCGACGCGTCCGGCGCGCACACGGCGACGACGCGTCCGTCTCCCCGCGACGGCGTCGGCGATCGCCCGGCGTCGCGCGCGCGACGCTCGGACGCGCGACGCGGGGTGGATCGGGGGCGCGAGGGGCGAATTCACGGGAATTTCGCGCGCGGTCGCGCTCGATGACGGGCAGTGCGTCGCCGACGCGTCGACGGGCGCGACAGGGAAGCGTGGACGTCGAGAACGGCGGCGTGGATGATGCGAAGGCGTCGCCGGGACGTTCGAGGGGGGAGGTGAAAACGGAGGTCGAGGTACGGAGGATGGGCGACGGAGATTTGAAATTAGGAGACGCGCCGAGTCGGCGTATTATTGGAATGATTTCGGTCGGTTCTGGACTGATCGAGATGTCAATTCGTCGAAATTCATGGAAATTCGGACGACGCGAGCGCGTGGCGCGGGCGAGTGTGAGAGACGCGCGGAGACTAACGCGGACGCGGTTCTCTTTTGTACAACAGGTCGAGGTCGAGGAGGAGAACGGGCGCGGGCGACAGGCGAAGAGCGAGCAGGCGAGAGCAGGGACAGAAGCGATGAATGGGAGCGCCAAGCGCGTGGGATCGTTCACGCCGGGACGAGGGAGCTCGATGGAGCCGTCGACGGAGGGAGAGGGCGGCGCGAGAGACGCGGTGAAGTCGTCATCGGCGCTGAGCGTGCTCGGCGTCGCCGCGCCGCGTGTGGTGGGCAAGCGCACGCCTAGGAGACCGAACAATGCGTACGCGACGTTTGAGAAGGCTGCGGAGGTTTTGGTGTCGCTTTCGCCGCAGATAAATAGGGGCGCGATTCGGGCGCAGCAGAACGCCAGTCCAGCGAGGAACTACTTGACCAAGGAACAAATCGCGGGTCTCGCAGTCGGGTCCGGGTTGACCCCGAAGCGAAAGCGCGCACGTGCTTTATTCCCCGATGAAGACTTCAGTCAGAAGTCTAACGGAGCCGCGAAGAAGCCCATTCTCTCGGCGGCTGAGGAGGACACTCTTTTTGGCGCGCTAGACGGCTTGGTGACGCTCGCGAGCGCGGAGAACATCGCTCCGACGCAGGCTGAAAAGTTGAAGAACAAGCGAAAGGCTGGAAACACACGACCGAAAGCTTCGCCGTCGCGTCACCTTCCGCCATTGCCCAAGCAATACCTCAAACCGCTCCCTATACCGGTTGGTAAAAAGATGCTGAAGATGAACAGACCGAGACGGCTCGCATCGCGGGAGATCGAGTCGAACGGTCTCGGCGCCGCGTCTTCACTCTTCGGTGACCACCGCGTGAACGAGGAGGTGGGAACGGCACAGGAGGTTAGAGGCGACAACAGAGCTCGTTTGCTCATAGGTGCGCATGATCCCTTGACGAGGCGCTGGGCAAACGCTAATTTTTTCACCGCCGCCACGGACAAGTCGTGGTACGAGGACAGCGGCTTTGCGCGCTGGCTGGAGAGCATCGGTAAGGGAGACGTGCGAAAAGCGACGCGCCAAGAGTGGCGAAACATTCGTCGCAAGTTGCCCAAGACGAGACGATTATCGTTGAAGTTCTTGAAGGATGAGCGTGTGGACTTAGAGTGTTGCCGCCGAGCCGCGCGAGAGATGACAGAGTTGAAACTACAAGGGAAGACGGTGACGGAGGATATCAAGGCGAAGATGCTCAAGTGGACAGGCGGATTGGAGGTCACGGCCCCGCTTGAAGTCGGACAGACGGTGTTCGCGGTTCACCCTCGGTTCCGTTCGCCTTACATCGGGAATATTTTAATTGTTGAGCACGCGCAGTGTCGCGTGCAGTTTGCGAGACCGGAGCTCGGCGTTGAGCTCGTTCGAGATGTCGACATAATGGTCGTGGACGTGAGTGCTGAACAGATGGAGCTCATCGCCACTGGTACGGCTGAGCAAATTGAGTACGAAGCCTTCACCGCCGGATTCCGAGGGATGCTCGATCCCACGCCGGCGGTCGGTGGCGTTCATGCGTATGGTGCGGGACTTGCTGTTGCCGCGCAGATGCGTGATATGGACGTTCGTTTACTCAACGACGCGCACCAGGCCCTTGAGCGCAAACGCGAACTCGTAGAGGCATTGCGTAGGAAGAACGACGCCGCGGAGGAGTTTAAGAAGAAACCAGAGCGCGTGAAGCTGGCCGCGGAAGAGAGCGGCGAATCACTGAAGTTTCAGCGAGAATATGCGGCGATCGTGCTCAGTTTGCGGGACGCCAACGCCGAGATCGAGACGGCGTTGGTGCGACTTCGTCAACAGCAAGGCTACCACGACAAGCCTCTCGCTCTGTGGAGGAAAATTAAGAGTCAAAATCTGGGCGACACGCATCGAAATCTCTCTCGATTCGCGCCACCAACGGTACCGCCAACCTCGGAGGAGTTGCACGCCGCCACTGCAGAGGACATCGTTGCCACTGCTGGAATGGGTGCTCGACGTATCGTGTATCACGTACAAACTACGACCGGCGCTGGCACCGAGAGCTCGGCGACGATCAATCCGAGTCTGCAGGAACCCCTCAGCGGCGACTCTGTGGTATCCAAGGAAGAGCTCGCCTCTGCCTCCGCCGCGGTCGACGCCGATCCCGAGAAGGTCAAGGTCACCCAACTTGTCACCGCCATCGTCCAGGCCACGCTCACGATCAAGGCGTGCGCCGACCACGGCGCGAGCGCCAGCGTCCTCGACGCCTGCCTCCGTCGC